TATATCCACAGGGGTCCATGACCCTCCTGCGATATAATTATATATATAATAGCATTTATCTCATATTTAGATTTTAGGACAGTAAAATTGTTTGCACCAGTTTAAACATGTGCTCACCATGGATAAACTTCATTTCTACATTTATGAACTCACCACTCAATTTATTGTATTTCTATGCTGAAGTCTTTACAGGTGGTGATTTGTAGCAGAGTGCTTCTGTGTGTCCATACATCAGGTGGTTTCTGAGAGTTACAAGGTTCTGTAAAATCACTCAGAAAACAATACAGCAATGTACTGATATTAGACATTTTAATGGTTGGAGCGATTGTTCTGTTATTTTTATTATTACTCCTTTAAAATTTCAACACAATAATAAAAGTGATTCTTTCTGTTATGGTTGTTTGAAACCAAAGGGTGCAGACAAAGGACAAGGAAGTCAAAAGCAAAAATTGTTTATTCAAAGTAAATGGCTGACGWGGCAGCTCAAACTACTTACAACTTATCACTTGGAAGGCCCACACACAGACGACAAAACTCTGACTGGCCTGCTGGAAGCACAATCCAGGACTGACAACACACAGAAAGACTCAGAATAACGAACATAAAACACAAACACCTGTGACAGAGACAAATGGAAACAGTTAAGAGTGGGAGGGGCCAAAGCAGAAACAAAAGGAACAAACACACTCAGACTACAAAAAGTGTATGGAAAACTATTAACAGGAAACAAATAGCATGAGCGCTTACTTAGCATAATAAGCAAAGTATTGGTGTTTTCTCCCTCCTCAGATCTGACCCTCCCAAATCACACTACACAAAAATGCTTTGTTCTGTTTTTAAAATAGATTTATTTAGAAAGCTAGACTGGAAAATAAATTACTCTTACAAATAAGCAATTCAGTCACACCAAAAATTCCACACCAACAAAAAAAAAAAATACTAAATATAAAAATCAAAAGCATCCAGGTTTTAGACTAAAAAGTAAAATAGCATCAATTTCACCAAAACATCAGTACTTTCATGTAGCTGTGAACTTTAAAGTACAAATACTGTATTTGTCAGCACAACCTAAAGTTCCTTTACACATTTTTACTGCTGTAAGTTTTACTTTTACTTTATCATAAAAGTCATTTAGTGTTCAAGCTATTAACTCTGATACCATTAAAAATGTTTCAAAGGTTGTTTTAAACTTAAAAGAATAAAAAAAATACAATTCCAGAGTAAGTTCAAATCTGCTACTCATCTTACATTTATGAAAGATTTGACTAATATATTCAAACTTTAAAAATGGGTATTATTTATTAGCATAAACTGCAGAGTGCTCGGGACTGTGGGCCAGTCTCAGATGAACGCTGCCAGGAGCTGAACCATCTGTGGAGAAGAAAACCAACAATCAGAGCCGTCTGTCAAGTCTTTTTGACAGTTGAGACAGTGTTCAAAGCAGTTTTTCACAGTGGAGCAAGCAGCCCAGCCCAGATTAGTCTTGTAGGTGTGGGTGGGTAAATAAGGGCACAGACTGGGTTGTAAAGCACCTTGAGTTTCCTGGTTGGATAGAAAGGTTCAGTTACCTCCATCCCATCAGGACTGTACACAGCAGGGCCCTCACCTCTTTAGTACATAGGGTGTGGTGGTCATTTTCCACTTTGAATTTTAAAAAAGCTTTAGTACAGAGAAGACAACAGAGTTTCTGGATGGCATTATGGTTTCTTATTTGCATGATAGAGCTTTAACCAGCATTTGTGGACAGCAGGGTGAACTGTGTTTACAGACAAAGATTTGTGAAAGTGTTTCTGAGCCATCTGAAAATTTACTTTACATTTCCGTAAAGCTTTACTCAATTCAATTAAGTGGAACCAGATTACGTATTTTTTAAAGTAAATCCATTACATCTATTTTTATTTAATTTATTTATTTATTTGGAGTGTAATATTTCAACTTTAACTGAATCAGTGACGATTTGATGCACGCTGAGTTGATCATCCTTTCAGTTTATTTTTTCAAACATTTCCTGTTAGTGTTGGCACAATGAGGTTTCAGGTGAGCCTGCAATTGTTTCAACTCAGGGCTGGTCTGTCAAAGCTGTGGTTAATGGTTACCCAGAGATAAGAGCTTTACTGCCGTACAGTTGCAGGAAGTTCTTTTAGTTCTGCATTTAAACCCCATCAGAAAACAATGTTCTACACAGCGAGGAAAACAGGGAGTTTATTTGTGTGTAAGACTTTATCAAGCAGTTTATTTAGTGAACTTTAAGCAACATTTCAGTCTTTGGACCCATGTGGAGCTGCTGATCCGTCTTTTCATAAACTTTCTTGACCTTGTTTTAAAGTGTCACAAAGTAAAAAGAGACTTCAGTTAATTTGAAATGAGGTTCTGTGGAATATCTATAAAATATTACCTTTTGTAGATAGCTCTTTGAACAAGCTCTGGTTTAAAAACAGTTTTTAAATCCAACAAGTAATCTCAACGCTGTTAGTCTCTGTTGTCTTAAACCAGCTGCAATCTTTATGCCCTTCATAGAGGTTTGTATGAACCTTTAGACCGCCATTAAATTTGTATTACATGTTCTTTTTGTGTGTTTTTATTGTGTTTTGTAAAAGCAAAAATAGCTGCAGCAGCAGCAAGGCTGAACATATCTGGTAGAAATTTCCTAACAATTTGCCAAAATTATTGTGCAGTAAAAAAATGTTTTGCATTAATATATGTGACATTTATAAGTTGTCAAAGTTGTTTTACAGCAGGGGCGGACTGGGGAGAATAGTGGCCCGAGGGTTCGTGACACACCGGCCCACCTTCAACTGCCGGCTTTAAGGTACTCATGATGGAAATGAGTGATGRAAGGCCAGCATAATTTTATTCAAAATAACATTTACAAAGCAAGCATTTGTTTGAGACCAACTCTACCAACTGTGCTGCCAAATGTAATATTCTTAGTCATCCTCGTGATAAAAAAAAACATTAAAAACAGACAACTGGACTTCTATTCTGAGTTCTAAGCTTTATAAATCTTTATAAAAGCCTATAAAGTTTAGACCACACTACTCCAAATATTTTGAACTGACAAAGCTTTCCTTATGGGAAGAGAAATGTCTACAGTTTCAGAATAGAAGACAAAACAAAGTACAAAGTGCCTCTAACCTCATGAGAACATGCATCCTCATATTGAGGACATTTRTTTTATACTGGTTTTATTTACTCAGAAGGATTATTTTACATTTGTGTTTTATTCTAAGTAAAATATTTACATATTTTTAACTGTTAGTTCTGCAAAAACATTTTTTTAATATTTGTAAGGTTTTACTAATCCTAAATATAAATGAACACAAAGCAATGATAAAACTGGTGGGGCCAACAAATTTTGGGGTACAGGATGGGAGGCGTAGCCCCTCCCGGCCACCCTCACTCGTTGCGCCCCTGGTGATTGACAGGTGCTGTTCCACAGAGCAATGACGAGCTGGAGCCACAGCAGGCTCTGAGCAGATCAGCTGACCGGAGACATGTTGGCGCTGCAAAACAAGCAGGGMTGCAGTGACCACAGCGCCGAACGTGGCTGCACCTCTGCGGGCCAAACCACCAGCAGCCCATCGGCCCACTGGGAAAACTCCAGGTAGACTTGTATGGCAGTCCGCCCCTGTTTTACAGTGTCAATCTGTTAGGAAGTGGATCCCTTCCTATTGTAAACGATGACTTCGTATAAGCTTGTCTAAACTGATCTACTTCCTAAAGGTTGTATCTCACTGAGCTGCAACTGCTGGAGACATCAACTCAWAGTCAAGTCTGAAGAAAACAACCAGCTTCACTGAATTCAGAGGACTTGACACCAAATGACGACTGAACCAATCTGTCATGTTTTAAGCCACGCTCTGAAATTTATGGCTTATTTTTATTTTTTACATGCACAACCTTCAAAACTATATTTTAGGCCATGAACCTTAACTCTTTGTCCAACTTTACTCATATTGTACCACCTTAGTTGGCTCACATACCCACCTTGACAGCTGTCCCAAATATTTATGATGTATTCTGTTTGAGTACTCTTCAAAAATAAAGCGTTTTGGACCAATTTTATAAACAATACTACTAATAGGTGCTGTGTTTTTTTTTTTTTTT